GAGAGAGAGAGAGAGAGAGAGAAAAAAAATAATCATTTGAACAATCATATAGAAGACAAAGGGAAACAAAGAACTTATATAATACTGAACAAAATAATCAATTAAAATTTTTTGCGAAACCAAATTAATATATTATTGAAAATATTATCTCATACATATCGTGAAATATTAATAAATTACATATGAGTGAATAAATCTAATATTTTCCTACCTTCATCGCAAAGATTGTGCCACTGTCATTACCCGTTATTTTACGCACTTGAAAAACCTTGCCATAACCACCCTTCCCAATAACTTTGCATAGCTCGAAATCCTGTGGTCCAGCTCTTTCCCTTCCGCGATTAACATTTTGTTCTGATATTGGAACTGTCTCGACACCTTCCGAGCTAGCAAAGCATGAAAATTGTCATTATCACGAAAATTTTCAAGCATGATAGATACATAAGCGGAAAAGAAAGCTTACTCACTCGGTTATTTCATTCACATTTGGATTCGCATCGTATTCTTCCTACGTGAAAAGAAAAACGTATAGGAACAGCGTTATGGAACGTAAAATGAAAATGACGATAAGGAAACTGGAGTGCTCGTGTGCGGATGAAGAATTACCTCGCCAATCTCGATAACATCATCATCAGACTCGTCCCTATTTACCGTGTCTGCATCGTGTAATTCAATATCAAAAACTGCAGCCATTCTATGCGCAGCTAACTTAAATCCAACGAGATTTCGCGGCTATTGTAAAAACGAATTATTTCTCTTGTAACAAACAACGATAACACAATATTGTTACACAGTCAAAACCTTGAATTACTGCGAACAAGCTGCCCTGTCCCAGAGCATACCAAACACCCTCGCCTTACACACACTCCGATTGGCCGTAGAATCTCGTCATCGTCATGTTATCGGAGTGGGAGGGTGGATGGTTTGACCAATCGGATAATGATGTTCAAGTTCTGTATAAAAGGAATTGACAACTACGGAATTCTACGCACTATTGCCAAGTTTTCTCGGTAGGATATTCCGCGGTTTATTTAAATATTACAATTTTACTAATCAGAAAAATTGACAATATATATATACAATATATATATATA